GGCATCTGACACAGGGAAGGGAACAGCTGAATCTCATGCCTTACAGGAAAACAGGCAGGACCAATAAGAAGAAAGATGAGCCAAAAATCACGCAATTATTTTGTGCTAACTTAATGGCTGCCTTGTTCTGCCCAAAGGTAAAGACATAGTTATCAGCGCCATTTATCAGGTACACCATTTTAGTATAAACTTGTTTAAAATGGGGTAGAGCCCCTTTTTCATCTTAATTAGACAGTAAACCATTGATTGCAAGTGGGCCTTCATTATCTAATTATTTAGTACAGAAGATAATGTCATTAACCATCTTTGAGTGGACAGGATTGCTCTAAAAGCTTCAGCTCCGGAGCTCTAATATTAGGCTTTTGGCATTCATCCCTGTGTGTGAAAAGCAGTCAGTTTGTTTACCAGGAATTTAGATTCGCATTACTGGGGGAATTAGCAGTGCGCTATTAGTCTGATCCGAGCACTTAACAATCGCTGATCATCCCCTCCCAGCCGGGATAATGGCGTGATCAGCTGTAAGTGGAGAGAAGGTGGGGCTGTTTCCATGAAGGCACTTGGGGAAAGTGCTGCATCCCCGACCCTGACCCCAGGCTTTGCCAGAGCCCAGACACCACATCCAGAGCTGGTGGCTGCGAGGAGCTCCCATCAGAGCCCAGCCCGGCCTCACTGCCCTCCCTCCTCGTGGGAGCCCCAGCCGCAAGGCCCGAGGTTGCGGTGGTTGGGCTGGGCCGTGTTCACCAGAGTTCTGCTGGGTTTGATTCCGGTGCTGGGCGACCCGGCTGAGCTCAGCCGTGCTGGAGGGCTTCCTTCCACTGCTGTCCCCATAGGCTTTGTCTGCCTCTTGCGCACCTCAAAGATTACGTGGGAAGTTTTCCTTCTTGTTCTTGTGTCAAGTTCCCTACCATTTTAGCAAACAGAGTGACTTGTCATTTTTAGGATGTGTTGAGAAAGATGCTTTCATTCTTTATAGGCGCTGAACCTGTAGTGTTGTCTTGTCAGCTCGAAGTTGCCTTTTGCTGTCAGCAGGTTTTCAGAGGCGTGCCAGGAGTCCATGGCCAGGAATTACTGTTTGAAGTAAAGCTTAGTTTTTCCTCATCTGCAATACATATTGTGCCTCTCTTTAAAGGCGAAATGCAGTCACTTGCTTCTTACTGAAACATTACTGCGTTTGTTGGAGGCAGTGGGAATGATTTTAACGAGGCAAGGACACAATAATTTTGGACTTCCAAATTCAAGGCTTGCCTCTGGCATCCCCTTGTTTATGACCTCAGGAAAGAAATGTGTATTCCTTCTCTCACTTGCAACACAAAACACAACTTATCTAACACCAACCGAGCTCCTTGCTGGAGGACTATGTGAGTGCCCTTTGTCAATGCGACATTAGACCACGTTGAGGGATCTAAAGCTGTCAGGGTTCAAGAAGCCACATCTGAAGTGCCTGACAGCGAGTGATGTCTAAAAGCAAAGATCGCTTTGTAAGATTCTGTCCAACTCTGTTCTTTAAATTTCTTTCCCGTAATGCCTCCAGCATTGGGGACAAGGAATGTAGCTTCTATTAACTGGGAAGGAAGGCAGGAGGCTTCTAGAGTTGCAAGACAAATTTTATTAGTGAGATTTGGCATTATTTTACACTTTAAAAAATAATCTGCATTACAACAATTAGAAGGTTCTGTCCTTTTCTATGCTTGCCGAGAGCTCGATGTTAAGACTGTGGGAGTGAAGAATTTTTATTAGATTATTTTTGTATTTAGACCAAAGGTACTCACAGGATGTTGTACTCCAGGTTCTGGGGAATAGAAGCTGAGGGGGTTTTGTAAATTGCCCTGTAGTGTGGGTAGTAAGAACTGTTCTGAATGGGTCTGGGTACCTGTGCCAGTCTTTGAACATCGGTGGTGCTAACAGAACTGAACTCATAATGGCATTGGAGTGACTTTTCTTAGTAGCAGATTAACTTGTGCATGCATGTCTGCTGTGTAGTTGAATAACTGTGGTATTTGGAGACCAGGTGTTACAAAAGTCTGAGTGAAGATGGGGTTGTACTCACAGCAGCGTGAGCACCCTTGAATGCAGGTGTATTTAGAGGCAAATTTTGTTTGCAGTTATTGATGAGCAAGCCTAAGAGGCAGCCGTGTATATAAAGGTGCATATGTATATGCAAAAGGGATATAGGACACATGGAGAAAACCCAAACTGATCTGTTTTGCTTCAATTTAAGTTTAGAGCAGGATTTGTCTTGAGTGTCAAGTATTTTCCTGTGTAATCCAGGACATGACAGGAGGCTGCAATTGCAATCAATAACGGTTTTAGTAGGGGTAAGGGGCTAATGGTCCACAGTGCCATAAATATGGCAACAAAATGCCAATACCTTTTTCCATGTCAACCTTTCTTAGAGCACTGAAGTGGGGAAGAGGAAAGATCACGGTGCCCAAGAGTGGAAGATAAATGCAGTACAGTGCATGTGTGGCACAGACGGCTCAGGGAAATGACTCCGTTATTCTCACAAATATCCTCACTGATTTGTGCAGTACTGGAAAGAACATCTTCCTCTTCCCTGTCACTCTCCACTAAACTCTGGAGATGACAGACAGTCTGACACAGAGACAAGAGTGTTGACACCTGTCTAGTTCCACCATACAGGATGGTCTAATGGAGATAGTAGAATATGGTAACGTGGACTCTGTTTTCATTAAAGAATGGTAGCAAACATGTGGAAACAGGGTCTCTTGATCCAAATAGCCACATTTCAGTAGACAATCAGAAATCCTAGTACTCCTCTTACTTAAGACGACGTGATATTTGTTCCTACTGCATGGAAATACGATGTTGCCTCTGTGTGACAGAGGAGATGGTTCTGCTCCATGCAGTGATTTCCTTGCCCTTCCTGCTCAGGAAGTAAAGAGGAGGCTGGAATTTGACGTGGAAGTTTTACCACTGCAGAGGGACAACTGCTCTGATGCACACAGCAACGTCAGGGTCTGTGATAAGGTGTCTGACAGTGACGGGGAACCACAGTGCGTTACCGAGCTGGTGCTTTCCTGGGAACAGATAAAGCACAGGGTAAAAAGAAACACCCACCTGTTCTGCATCTATTCGGATTGTATTTTTGTTTGGCTGTGTATAACACTGTTCAGATCTGTTGTATCTCATAGGATGAGCAAGGGGCACCGTATGTGTGCGGAGGAGCTGCTCTGAGTTTGTAGCTATCCTGAAAGCGTAGGCTGGCTGATGAGGCAGCTCCTGCACACAATTGATTGTGGACTATTAACCTATGCTCAGAAATCAATATTCACTTAACACCACATTTTAACAGGCAGATGCAGTACAAAATAACAGCAGTTACACAGTGCACACATTTACAGTCAGAATAAACAGGTTATGAATGGAGCTTGGCAGAGGAGGAGGGCAGGCAGCTGGAACGGGACGACGACAACTTGAGTACGTGGAGGGGTACAAGGGAGCTGTAGCTCCTGGGGAGTTTTGCAACCAAATGTCCCAGGTGTTTTGTGTCAGTACAGCTTCAATGAGCTATGTGCATTCTCTAAGCATTACTAAAAAGGTCCATCCTGAGCCCAGGTAAGGTTATCCTTCACTAGATAAGACTAAATTTACTGGGGCTGTGCACAGAAATCCATCTTAACTCACAAAACCCATCTGTTGCTAGCCATGATGGTGGATTATATACATATATGTTGCAAGGGGCAAAACCGAAAGGAGCTAGAATATAAACTGTAGTATAGTGTCCTTGATCTGGGATGATATTTTTCATATACTTAAAATAATGGATTTGAAAAGGGAACTGAAAGTAATCCAGAACTGATGTTTCCCGGGGACTCTGTGTGCCTTCACTGAGCTTTACGTGCAGCCCACCCTGGAGCTTGCAGGCTAAGGATGGTTGTGTACGCTGTGCTCAGTGCCTGCGTGGGCTTCAGGAGTGGACCCACGTCAACCTCACGACGTTCAACAAGGCCAAGTGCAAGGTCCCACACTGGGGCTGGGACCATCCCTAATATCAATGCAGGGTATGAATGGATCGAGAGCAACCCTGCAGACAAGGACTCGGGGATACTGGTGGGTGAAAAGCTGGACATGAGTCAGTAACATGCACTTGCAGCCCAGAAAGCCAAATTGTACGGGCCCCATAAAGAGAAGCGTGGTCAGCAGTCGAAAGAGATGGTTCTTCCCCTCGACTCGACCCTACCCCACCTCACCTGCAGTCCTGTGTCCAGCTCTGTGGTGCCCCGTACAAGACAGACATGGACCTGCTCCAGCGGGAGAGACGCAGAAATGAGAGGGCTGGAGCCAACTGTCTCCTATGAAGAAAGGCTGAGACAGTTGGCACGGTTCAGTCTGGAGAAGAGAAGGCTCTGGGGAGACCTTATTGTGGCCTTTCAGTGTATGAAAGGGATCATATATAAAAAAAATTAAAGAGACTTTTAACCAAGGCCTGTAGTGAGAGGACAAGGGGCAACATTTTTAAATTGAAAGAGGGTAGGTGTAGATTGGACATATGAAATTTCTCACAGTGAGTGGTGAGGCCCTGGCCCAGGTTGCCCAGAGAAGCTGTGGTTGCCCCCTCCCTGGCAGTGCCCAAGGCCAGGTTGGACGGGGTTTGAGCAGCCTGGGCTGGTGGAGGTGTCCCTGCCCAAGGGGGTTGGACTGGGGGATCTGGGGTCCCTTCCCACCCAAACTGGTCTGTGATTGGATGTCTGAAGAGGGGCTCCAGGATCTGGGGCAGTTGGACACTCAGAAACCCAGCCCTGCACAAGGTCTGCCAGAACTCAGACCTTTGTTTTAAACCACTGTGCTGCAGTATTGGCCTGACGGCTACTCGAGATGCTAACGTGGCAGAAGCAATGGTGGGCACCGCATCTGCAGAGCTCAGTGCAAACCGACTGGGGGAAGTGGGTGCGAGTTGGGGGGAGGCTTTCGGTGACTGCTGTTCTGGGTTAAGGCTGCTCCATTCCTCTTTTCTGGAAGCTGCCTGTTTCCCAAAGGTAAATCAGTAGTGGGAGGTGCCTGGATATGGAATAAGATTAATAATATGGGAAGGAAAGATGCCATTTATGCCAAGTTAACGTGAGCTCAGCCACAGGGGCAGGAACAGAGCCAGAGATGGCCAAGAAATAGCAGCTCCAGAATATACAGAGGAGGCCATGGGCATACTGCTGTGTTTGGAGATGTCTCGGTGCTTCTTCCCTTCAGCCACCTGGGAAATGAAAAGCAGGAATTAATCCAGATCGAGCACATTTATGCTCAAATGCCTGGCTGCAGCACCTCCAGTTCTGAGCTCTAATGTGAGACTACAGGACACTCCTGTGGCCAGGCAGCACAGCCTCCTGCTCATAGCTCGAGGTAAAGTGGTCTGGGGCTCTGCATGCATGTGGGATCCAAAATGTGGCATTTTGACGTCCAAAATCACACATTCCCAGATCCAGAGGTTTTCAACTACTGTCTCTAGGCCACTTGACTCGCTGCCTTGTGAAGGCAACAAAGCAATGCATACCTGGGACATTTCTGAAGCAAGAGATGCGCTGGCACTGTCTCCTTGGAAGCTTAGGGAAGATGAATAAAATACATCTTCCTGTCTTTCTAGAGCTGTCTGCTTCAGGTGCATTTGAGACCAAATGGCATTTTCTGCAAACAGAAGTAAAGCGAGACTCTTATTGTGCTTTTCTTGTGCATACGTTGGGGTCTAGTGAACAGAAGTCTAAGGAAGCTGTTTTAGAAAATGCACTCACAGACTGTATGGCTTGGTTTAGAAAATACATATTCTATGTTCAGTGGACGGCCTGTTAGATTGCGGATTTACTTGTGAGGTTGAGCAGATTGCAAAGCCAATTTGCTCTGTACTTGAGGAACTTTGGGTCCCTCTGGGACTTCCCCAGCTGTCTGCTTTACAAGGGGCAGGTATGTAGTATCTCAGATGGGATGTTTAGGTTGTAGGTGTATCTATAGGGCTAGGTATAAGGCTTTTCTATACAGCAGGAGGTAGGTTTAAATATTAATAATTTACCTAATGATGCTGATTTATTTGATATCCTTTGGAAGCTTTTACAAACATAAAATATTTAAATCTTATTAAGGTCTGTTGCTAAAATGCAAGGGAGGTAAAAGAAATACAGACTTAGGGTTACACAGTTGGGTATAACAGGATTTTTTAACTGCTCTGCTGCTTGGTCTGGCGAAGGGGCTGTGTCAGGAGCTACTTATCCTACCCAAGTGGAGTACCCAAAGGGGAGCACAGGAAAGCAGGGGGAGGACGGGAACCCAAACCCCATCATCCTGGTGCACTGACGTGGTTACTCAGCAACCTATGGATACAGCATGTCTGACCTCCCCTTGCAACTTTTGTGAAACCCCTTTGCTTGAATGCTATTTGGAAATAGCTTTGTGGTGTCTGAGATGAACAGAAGTGTAGCCAAAAGATAAAGAAACACTTCTGAGGGAAGTTCCAGACTGGCCCCATAGGCTGGATAGGAGATCATGGAAGCACTGCAGAAGACAGAACTGAACACAAGAGCAATGCATCGCAGGATCTGGAGATCAACAGGATTTTAGTTTGTCTGTGCTGAGCTGTTTCTTTGATTCTGTGACAGGATTGATGCTTACCAAGGCATTTGTTGCTCTCAAACATGCCGAGTATCTGGTCGCACTTCTCCTTCTGGTTGCCGCTGCTCTCACACGTGCACCACAGGGAGACCTCCACGCTGGAGTTACTGACATAGTTGGGTGTCATGGGCGTGCCTGTCCCAAACCCCAGAGACTGGAATCAGGATTTACGTCACCAAATGAAAGAAGCACCGCGAGACCTGTTACGCTAAAGGGGATGCAGAAGCCCCTGTTGTGGTGTGCGCGTTACCCGGTGAAGTCGGGAGCCCTGCGGGGTGACCCAGGCCTGTGGAGTTGGCCACCCTCGCCCTGGGCAGTCTGATGGAGGTGCGCTGGCAGCTGAAGCTGGTGCAAGCTCAGAGTGAAGGAGGGGAGCCTCTGCAGGGACCCAGCTGCAGCAACGGGCGCTCGCACTTCTCGTGTGGGTGGCCAAGCGCCTTGTGCCAAGCGAAGGCTGCACACCTGCAGCGTGCATTCAGCCAGAGCTCACCTGGCACAAAACCAGCAAAGACATCTGGAAAACCAGGAGGTACAGTCTAGATTTACAGCTTCTGAGATAGTGCTGCTCTTTACAGCTCCTCCTTCGAGCCGCTCTGAAAATGCATTAGCAGGTTGGCAGTGAATGCCCAGAACAAGAGATGACCCTTCTTCCGATGGCTGGTGGTGCCACGCTCTGCCTGGCTCTGAGGAGATTGTGTGTCCAACACGGACAACCCGTCAGGAGCCTAAAAGTCAGGCAGCAAGGGAATGTCACATCAAATTGCTGCTATGATGGGGATGTGGTGTGGATGCACTGCTGTAACTCCTGCAGCA